GGGTTAGTCTGTGTTTTGGTCTTCAAGCTCTGAGATTCTTTCTTCTGCTTGGCTGGTCCTGCTTTCCATGCTTATTAGTCTGTTGTTCGTTTCCATCACAGTATTATTTACTGCTGTCATTTCTGACATCAGCTCCTTCCTATTTTCCTCGTCTCTCCTCAATTTTTTAAATTCTCTCCATTAATGTCTTGATGTCTGGGTTTGTTGCATGTGACCAGTCATTCTGGGGGCTCTTCATTGTTTGTGTTCCAGAATCTGTTTTCACAGTGTCTGATTTCCCAGGGGTCTGTGTGAGACCTATATTCTTCTTTTGGTTTTTCTTCATTTGTGTGGTTTTTCCCCCTCCCTACTTTTTCCTTCCCTCCACGTCACTGTCTTCTTTAATTCTATTATTTAGGGGTAAAGGGATTGGTTTTACTTCTGTTTGTTCAATCTCCTATTCTTTATGTATGTCCCCTTACTTTGTTCAATTCTGGAGTTGCACTGTAGGTTGGAGGTGATCCTTTTTGCAGTTTTGAGATTTACTTAAGGGGAGAGCTGTGATTCAAAATCTGTCTGCAGGTCCTGGTATTCACTGACAGGTGTGTGGATAATGTGGAACCCACTTCCCACTGCCCTGGAATCTGTCCGTGTAGTGGGGCTATAGGTTTACTCCCTGAAATAAAATGTGGTTAGCAGAGGAGAGAGAATGGAGCAGTGAGTGGGTTGAAGAGGGGAGTGGAGAGATAGAGGAGTAAGGGGGGAAACAAACGAGTGTGCCAACAAATAGAGAGAGAGGCCTATACTGAAACAGATAAAAACAATAGACCACAGCTACAGATGAACCAACTCTCATACAAAAAATAAAAATAAAACATATAGTGATGCTAACATACAAGCTAACCAACCACCTTGTTAGTGTGCTGTTCCTCTATACAAAGATATGGTTTACAGAGAGAAGAAAAGGAAAAGGAAAAAAGAAAAAGGGGAACAATACAGTAAGAATAGAATTAAGTCATTAAACTAATAGAATCAATGAAGCACACTCTGAGACATTTCGTTTAAGTCCAATGTCCTTTCAGGTCTGATTTCTAGTTTTCTTTTCAAGCTGGTAAATTAGTTTGCAGTTAGGATCAGTTGCCCCTGATCTGCTGTGAAGGACAGTTCAGATTACCCTCTGTTCAGCACTCTGGTCTATGTCTTTATCAAGCTTGTTTCTCCCGTTTTGGTGTTGTTACCTTGAATCACCAGCAGGTGCTGCTATCTCAGCTGCTCGCCCCAGAGGGGGTGGGGCCGGACAGGAGCAAGATGGCTGCCTGCCTCAGGGCAGGCAACAGGAGCCTTATGGACCAGCAAGCAGGACAGTCTCGGTTGCAGGAGAGGTGGCAGTGATCCCAGCAGATCTTCCCTGAAGGGGTTTGATGTGGATCGCCTCGGGCCCGGGTGGTGTGATGTGCTACAGCTGTCATGGAGGCCGCGGCAGTGGCGGTGGTGGCGGCGGGGTGGGCCTGCGGCGGGGGCAGTGGTGGCACTGTTTGCGCCGCAGTGACTGTCCAGTCCGTTGTGATGTCCCAGCGGTGGCAACAGCCGAGCTCCGTATGAAGAGCAGGCTGCGATGTTGGGGTCCACAGCTCCCCGGGGCGAGAGTCAGGGACCCACTGCAGATCTCCTTTGCAGAGGGCTTCAGAGACTGGGTTGCCCTGTCGCCATCTTGCCGCTTCCCCCGAGTTAATTTTTTTAAACAGTTTGAAGTAAGTATCCAAATCCATGCTCAAGTACTCAATCCAGTTACCCCAGCTCAATTTGTAAATGTCCTCATTTAAATTGTCTTTGTACCTTCATCAAAAATCAGTTTGACTGTAAATGTTAGGGTTTACTTCTGAACTCTTGATTCTATTACATTGATCTATATGTCTATCTTTATGCTAAAACCACACTGTCTTGATTATTGTAGCTTTCTAGCTTTGAAATTGGGAAATGTTAGTCCTCCCACTTTGTTCTCTTTCAATATTGTGTTTGGCTATTCTGGGTCTCTGAGCTTTTCCTGTGAATGTTAGGATCAACTGATCAGTTTCTGCAAAGAAGTTAGCTAGGATTTTGAGAGTGATTACATTGAATCTGTATATCAATTTGGGGAAATTGCCATCTTGATAATGTTAAGTCTGTCAATCCATGAACCTGAAATGTCTTTCCACTTATTTAGATCTTTAATTTCTTTTAACAATGTAGTTTGCAGAGTATATGAATGTATGTTTTTTACTTTTTCTGTTAAATGCATTCCCAAGGATGTAAATCTTTTTGATGCTGTAATAAATTAAATTGTTTTTCTTAATTTCATTTTTGCGTTGTTTATTTCTGCTATATAAAAAGACAATTGATTTTGCATATTGATACTGTATCCTGCAACCTCGCTGAATTCATTTATTGGTTCTTATAGTTCTTAAATGATTTCCTTAGGATTTACAACGTATAAGATCATATCATCTACAAAACAGTTTTTCTTCTTTCTTTCCAATCTGGATGCTTTGCATTTCTTCTTCTTGCCTAATTCTCCTGAATAGAAATTCTAGTATAATATTAAACAGAAGTAGTGAGAGCAGACATTCTTGTCTTTTTCTGATCTTAAGGGGAAAGTATTGTCTTTCACCATTAAACATCACGTTAGTTTGGTCTTTGCAGCAACTTGGATGCAGCTGGAGACCATCATACTAAGTGAAATATCACAGAAACAAAGAACTGAATACTGCGTGCTCTCAGTTATAAGCAGGCTCTGATCACTGGTCATATGAGCACAGGGGGGGATTGGCAGAAGCTGAACACTGGTGGGGAGTGGGGGGCAGGAAAGGAGGTGGGGAGAATGTGGCAACATACTGGGTACCTGGTCCACTATCAGAGGGAAAGAAAGCCAGCTGAAAGCCCAAACTTCACCTGCATTCAACTTTCTTATGAAGTGAATCCTCACTTGTACCCCACAATTAAAATAAAATAAAATAAATATCATATTAGCTGTGGGATTTTTTAGATAACTTTTAGTAGGTTGAAGAAGTTCCCTTTTATTCCTAGTTTTTGTCCTTGTTTTTGGGGGGTTCTGTTTGTCATGAAGGAGTGTTGTATTTTGTCTAATATCTTCTGCATCTATTGGATAATCATATGGTATTTGTTTTTCATTCTATCAATGTAATGTATTCCATTAATTGATTTTCAGATGTTAAACCAATCTTGAATTCCTGAGATAAATTCCACTTGATCTTGATATATAGCATTTTCTATATTGCTAGATTTTATTTGCTAGTACTTTGTTGAGAATCTATGTTGCTATATAAGAGATTTTGGTCTGTATTCTTTTTGGGGGGGGATGTCTTTGGTTTTGTTATCAGAGTAATACTAACCTCACAAACCAAGTTAAGAAACGATCCCACCTCTTCTATTTTTTGGAAGAGTTTTTGATGTATTGGTAGTAATTCTTCTTTAAATGTTTGGTAGAATTCACCAGTGAAGTTATCTGGTCCTGAGCTTTTCTTTGTAAGAAGTTTTTAAAATTATATATTACTAAATTAATCTCTTTACTCTTTATATGTCCACTAAAATTTTCTATTCTTGAGTCAGTTTTGGCATTTTGAGCCTTTCTAGGAATATTTTCATTTAATCTAAGTTTTCTAATTTATTGTCATTGAATAGCAGGCTTAGGAGTTTATTACATTATTCAAAGTATCCAAGTCAATAAATAAATAAGTGTGAGAAAGCCATGTATGGATCATTGGTGAGAAAGTGCCATGAACCGAGGAATATGGTTTATCTGGTTCAGTGTCCTGAGTTCAAAAAAAGGAAAAAATTAAAAGAAAGCAAGCAGACAGATAATGATAATGGGTGAGGGAAAAGGGTTGGGAGTGGAGAGGTAGAGGCCAGGAAACCAGCCAATCGGAGGAGAGAAGAGAAGTGGCCAGAAGGAACATGACCCGGGACTCCAGCATGGCAGCAGTTCATAATACTCTCTTATAATTCTTTTTATTTTTTTAAGGTCCATAGTAATGTGGGATGCGGTTTTAATTGCCTACTTCAAGAATACAATGTGCTTGAAGCCTCTTGCCTTATTGTAAAAAAAAAAAGTCATATGAATATGAACACATGTATTTCAATATAAAGTAGTATTTAATATTAATGAACACTAAGTAGAATTGAATGAAGTACCAGAGAGAGTTTCCCATATTTATCCTTTTGTTTCACCACCCCACCCTCCAAGCAAGGTATGGGTTTCCCATTTGAGATGCATCATAACAAATGAATTCTCAAGACAGGGTTTCCCTTGTCTTTCCAGGACAGCTTATCTACCCTTTACTATGCTAAGATCCTAAGTTGAATTACCAAGATTCAGGGTAGACTTAAAAACTGGAGAAACAGGACCAGAGAACCAACAGGTTTCATTGTATAGATGGGTCACCACCCATGATCTTGTATTCTCAGAAGGGGCAGGGGGTGATTATGTTGTTAGCAGGTGTGGATGTGTGTTGTGTGTATCTGTATTCTCTGATGCAGGTGGCAGTGTAGTAACACCTGTTAACAGTTCATCTCCTTTTATCTCTGAATAAAAAACAAGGAGCAAAACAAGGAGCTGAAGTAATGTCTTCTCCCCCAAATGAACACCAGAAAAGAGTATTTCTAACAGAGCTACAGTTCATATGACTTACTTTAATGCAAGTCCTATTTCTTTCAACTTCAACAAATGAGATCTTAGCCAACATTCAGATATTCCCTGCTGGAAAAAAAATGTAACTATGTTTTGATAATAAAGTTATTTTTAGAATGGACAGTTAATTGGCATTCACATAAACCTGAGATGAAAATGATATTTTAATGGATACATTAACTGAAACGTTTCCTTCAAATCCTTAAAATTAAATACTCAAATTAGTCATAGATTAATCACTCGCCTTCGGTTTCTAGTAAAAATAATCATTATTCACTCATGTGTTAAAGTCATCATAATAAAGATATATTCTGTTTGCCCTCTGTATTTTTCTTAGAAAAACTGTTCTTGAAAACCACGTGCTACCTAGTGATTAACACATTTGGATCAGACATCATTAAACTGTGAGTATATCGTGGAGTATAGCTCTGATTCTCTTCCTGGGACATGGGTGAAAACCAGAAAACTGGGAGATGGGAGGCTTTGCTTTCAGTTTGATGTACTTACTGGACAAGGTCCAGTTATAACAAGAGCTGTTATTCCAGCTCTTGTTAATAGTGGAAAGTTGAAACCTGATTCGGATCCCTTGCTACTCTAGGCAAAGGCTCCCCTTGAATGATAATGTAGCAGTCTGGCTCAATTTCTCTCCAACAGCCTTTCAGAAAGAATTTCACAAGTCATTCCAACAACAAAATGACCGTATCCTATTGACTGGACATAGGCAATTTGCTTTTTCTCCTGAGCTCCCCAACCTGCACCAGACCTTGCCCTACTCTCCTTCCCTGGGTCCCCAGGCCACACTCCTCCAGGCCGCTTCTCTTCTCTCCTCCCATTGGCTAGTTTCCTGACCTCTCCACCTTTCCACCCCCAACGCTTGCCCCTCACCCATTTTCATTATCTATCTGCTTGGTTTCTTTTACTTTTCCCTTTTTTTTGGATTCAGAGTCCTGGATCAGATAAACCATATTCCTCAGTTCATAGCACTGTCTCATCAATGATCCATACATGGCCCATTTCCCACCCAAACGAGCACATCCTTATTTCTGCATTCATCCTTCTCTTACTTTCTGTAAAAAGAAATGTATAGAGTTTTAAAAATAGATTTATTATATATAACATATAAAAATACACATCATCCATTATGTTACAGTGAATATAATTTATTATTATATGTGATACACTCATTATTTATTCATTTACTTAGATACTTTGAATAATGCAATAAGCTACCAAACCAACACCCAAAACAAAATCTAGGACCTTGACAATAACTTTGTCCAACCCTATAGTCCTTTCCTTTCATTCTCACGCTATTCCCCCACCCAAGTGAGCATCATCCTCAATTCTATGTTCATCCTTCTTTTGCTTTCTGTCAAAAGAAATGTATAGAGTTTTTTTAAATAGATGTATTATATATAAAATGTAAAATATAAATTATTCATTATTACATATGTTACAGTGAATATAATTTATTATTATATGTAAATTAGATATATTTGGGCTGTTTTCTGGTTTCTCCTCTTGTGAACAGGCCTCCTATGAACATTCTTAAGTGGTTCCTCTTCAAAGTGCCATTAGTCTTAGAGCAGAGATGTTCAGAGGACAGCATCACCCACCACAAAAGGGAAGCCTGGAGTTACAGAATTTTTAAGACAGAAGCAACTTAAAATAACGCAGGTCAGGGAAATAACCAGTGACCTGTTGTGCTGTGCACCTGCCTTTATTAATATTGCCCTCACTCCATTGTGGAAAATGTTGTATCATGAGCTCTTGACTGTGTTTGGAAGGCAGGAACCTCCTATCTTCTTAGCTAATACCACTATTATTGCCACTGCCTCCTCACTGGACTCCAGGCCTGCAGGCCTGCCCATTGCCCTGCAAATCCATAACCTACATTATAGCTAGACTGGTATATGTTTAATGCAAACCTAATTATGATACTCTCTTAAGGTAAAATTCATAAGCTTTGCAGGAATCCTAGCTGCACATACAAGACTCTTCATGAACTGGTCTCTGAGGGCATTTCCAACCTCATCCCTTGCTACTCCACAGCACCCCACACTGTAGACCACTTGGCTCAGGATATTTGCCTGAGATGTTCACTCTGATTGGCACAGGCAAAACCGCTACCCTCAAACAAATCTTATAAGCCCCATATGCCCACCACACAGGCAAACAGGTGCATGTACACACACACACGCATGCACACAGACACACCCACATAGACACATATACATGCCCAGAAACATACACACTCACATAGACACACATAAGTACATGTTTGTACACACTTACTATCCTAATACCTTGTTCAAACTCCTACCACAGCACTCACCCCATCTGTTTGTAACTTAATTATACATTTACTTGAGTTGAAAGGGCTAAGTCTCCATTTTATTCATCTTTGTGTCTGCAGCTACTTAGCAAAGTGCTGACTATATGGTTATAAAAGAAAGGAAGAAAAAAGAGGGAGGGAGGGAGAGTCGGGGGAAGGAAGGAGAGAACTTTGTATCTCCAGGGCCAGGTGCAGTACTCAAGCATAGAAAGTCTTCAACAAATATTTGTTGAATTAATACATTATTTAAAACAGACAAACAAAAGTATGACTACAAATGAGCTATGACTAGTCTGCTCCAAAGAAAATTATTTAAAAGTATTAAAACGAAGAAAAATAAACCTATTGACCTATTCAGTGAATCTATTTCTACATCTAGTAGGAAGCAGGTGCTACTGGGGGACGTGTCAGCTTGGTTAGAGAGTTCCGCCTAGGCCTAGATCAGCGAACCAAAGGGGCAAGCTGAAAAGTCACAGAAGATTAAGGGAGCAGTACATGCAGATGCCCAAAAGGGGGTGCCAGAGAGCAGCCCCCAAAAGCAATGTGCAGGGAGTATGAGGGAGGGAAGTGGCCTGGGCTAATTAGGAAACCCCTTCTTCTCCTTCCATAGGTGACTAGAGTGGTGAGTGTGAGAGCCAGTTACCTGCAAGGATCAGAGCTAGGACAGGCATGGTCTTAAGTACTGCAGGTGCAAACTGTACAACACATGAACTCTACAAGGGACAAGTGGGCATGGGTATGAAGATAGTATGGGCCCAGCAAGTCACCAAAAGAGAGACCCACTCCTGAATAGGTGGTGGGAATAGGAGGAGTAATACTTTTCTTTCTAAGATGACTAACATGAGGTGGGTCAGTTTGAAGAAAGAGGTGATAAATGAACCCTCCCTTCACAGTTCTGTCTACCATTTGTTTTGTTTGTCCATAATTGCCCAGTACCCATATGAGTTGTGAACTAATAGAAGTTTGTCTTAGATGGTATGTTCTTACAGCTTGTTTCAAGCAATCAGATACAGCTCTAGATTGATGTCAGCCCTGAAAATGACAACCTTATGATTTAGTTTTACTTGAATATCAGTCTACCAATATTAAATGTATTTCCTAACCCAGAGGGCATCCCTCCTCATTATTTCACACCACTCAGTTCTCAATAATTCATGGACTAATTATGCAGCAATTACATTTCCATCCCACAGGCAGAGTCACGGAATGTTGTAAAAAAAAAAGGTAGGACACCTGAGAACTCAGGGGTTCCCCTAAGAACCTGGGTCACGCGGGAGAGGTTATTTCAGGAAGCAGTCTAATCCTAGCCAGTGACCACATGCCGGGTTCTCCTCTGTCTAGCCCAGACCACCATTGTTTTTGACGTTGCTGTAGCAAACTTGACTCTGTTCTCTGTCTCATCTTGCTTCATGGTGTCTATTTATGCTGTCCTCTAAATCATAAATTCTTGTGTCTAAGCCCACAAACTTTCAGAGATTAGGATAGGCCTAAACAACTAATAGTTTCAGAAGAAAAATGTGAAACAGAATTCATAACAACCATGGTACACCTTAAATAATTATGGTACACAATTGTAATTAATGGCTTTTGAGAAGCATTAGAAATACAGAGCAATAAAATTGTTTTATCCTCAAAATAATTACAAGATTTATAGAAATGATTAAATGTACAGTATACTATAAGGAATATGGCTTAGAAATGAGATAAACATATTACGTTACACGATGAAGGTCTTTCAATTCCATTAGTGGGTTTCTGGGACTGCAACTTATATATAAAACCTCCTTTGAAAGTAATGTCAAAGGTCTAAATTTGAGCACTTGCAAGTGAAAACAACCCTGCCCCCCAATCCCTGCCATAGGCTATGTTACTCTGCTGTCTGGCTATCCTTGCTCTCTTCTTTAGATTGATGATGATAATGATTATCATGACTGAGTTTATTCTACCACTATTCTAATTCAAGCCATCAACAGGCTGGCTATGCCACATGTGTTGAAACTCTCCTCACTGCACACCTCACTTACATGCGCCTGTAGCTGTAAAGAAAGTAAAAGAATGTAAATTAAAATGTGATGGGGTCAACATCAAGGAGCTTGAAAGTTGTTTCTCTTTCCTAACAAGTAAAAAGCTGAACAAACTGAAAAATCAACAATACTATGTAGATCCTTAAGAGAAGTACTATCACTGGGCAACCTGCTGCCTGCAAAATTGGGAAGAAACAGGTAGATACAGAGAATCACAACAACTTACCAGAGCAGAAATCACCACAGAAACCAGTACCAGGAAAGGGAAGCCTAAAATGTAATTGACAAGTGGTAGAGGCTAGATACAAACAAGTCTGAGAGTTACAAACTCCAGAGGGACCCAGTCATTAGGGGTGTGTCCACACTTTCATGAGTTTTACTTCCAGAAGCTCAACTAATTTCTCATAGTGACTATTAGAGAAAACTCATGTTTCTGCTGCTTAGGAGCAGGAATGTGGGGGGTGGAGGGTGGGAACCTGGAGGGAACCGTTTTGAAAGACACCAGAGCATTCTGTTCTTAACAAGGTCTGCTCTCAGGAGAAACTAGTAACCAGTACCTAACCTGTTGAGATTTTATCAGAGCCTAACTGACCTAGAGAAAGGGAAATATGCAACTCCTACCTGCTCTAGCAATCCTGTTTTACCTAAGTGGGTTTGGGAAGAAAAAAACAAAAAACATTGATGAAGTTCACAGTCCAGAGGTATGGGCTTACTAAAACGTGGAGACTTTACATGAAGACTTAATCACAGGTGTAGAGGATGCTACGTCTTATGTCTCATCATCACGTGGCCTATTCATAGAAGTTTCTTTTACCCACTCCATCATGTCTGGCTATCGAGAAAAAAGGCACAAAATGCAGTTTGAAGAACAGAGCAAGCATCAGAACTGTACATAGCAGGGATGTTGTAATTATCCGGGATGTTGTAATTAAATTATAATTATGAAATTATGGTTTAAAACAACTATGATTTTGTGCTAAGAGTTTTAATGGATAATGAGGACAGCATCAAAATCACATGGACAATGCAAGAAGATGGAAGTCCT